GACAATATATTATCATTCAATAAGGTATTCAGGATGGGTTAGTGAGATGATTCAAAATTCACGCGTGATTTTATCACAAAAATTGTGATTATAATTTCAATTGAAATCAACATAATTTCAGAGTAAAAACCTAGAGGAATTTGTGAATTAAAATTTTGATCATGTGATCGATTAAATCACCCAATTAAATATCATCAACACAAAATCGTAATAAAATCATGACCAACAAATTCTGAACACTCTATCATTCAATAAGAACAATTTAAAAAAATATTCTAAAGAGATAATAAATTATTGTTCTTATTGAAAATTGTTTTAAAAAGATATATATTATCATTCTTATTGAACAATTTAAAAAATTATTTTAAAGGAACAATAAATTATTATTCTTATTGAATAATTTAAAAAATTATTCCTTTGAAATAATAAATTATCGTTTAATAATAATGATTAAAATAATTATCTTAAAGGGATAATAGATCAATTGTTAATTAAAAACAATTAAAAAATCATTCTAAAAGGATAATAGGCTATCATTTGATAAAAATAATTTTAAAAAATTATCATAAAATAATAATACATTAATTATTTTAATTGAATAATTAAAAAATCATCCTTTTAAAATAATACATTATCATTTTTTTGAAACAAAAATCATATTCTTTTAAAGCAATTATTATTCAATTAGAATGATAAAAATTATTTTTTTGAAATAATGATCATTTTATAAGAACAATAAAAAATCATTTTTTTAAAATGATGATTGTTCGATTAAAATAATAAAAAATTATTCCAAAAAATTATTCCAATTAGATGATAAAAATTATTGGATTTGAATAATTCAACATTGTTCTAATCAAATGTAAAATTGTCTGATTAGAATGATTTTTTGTTTTTTAAGAAATTTCTCATTTTAAAAACAACACAGATCGAACACTAATTAATTTACCTTTCTGATTAGTTACTATTTTTTAATCAGCAATCAATAGATAGAATCAGTAAATATTATAATTATACATGAAGTCAAAATAGATCATCTCAGATATCCTAAATGGTCGAAATGGTCAAAATCATTTTGACTATTGGAGGTGAAAAGTCAAAATAGTCAAAATGACATCATATCACATGATTTTTATATATAGAAAAAATAAAAAAAAATAAAAAATGTACGATTTCAGTCAATATCGCTCAGATTTATATGAAACAACTACTATTCGATTCCTCAAAACTAGGCGGATCTAATAAGCTAACATTCATTGATTTTGGATCATTCAATCACGAGATACTCACAATTGTATTATCGGCCGAAATTATAAATCAATAAATTCTACTTTAAATAAAGAAGTCCAGATTTTGAAATATGATCGCAAATATCTCAAGATAGAATGATCCAAAATCAATGAATATTAGCTCATTAGATTCGTCTAGTCATGAGGAATCAATGAATGGTAGTTGTTTCATATGAATCAGAGCGATATTGACCGAGAAGATTGTACATTTTTTTTTTTGTTTTTTCTATATATAAAAATCATGTGATATGACGTAATTTCGATCATTTTGACTTTTCATTTTGATTTTGACCTCCAAAGTTGAAACATTTTGACTTTTGGGTTTTCATTTCGACTTCATATATAATCATAATCATAAATATTAGGTAAAATTATATAAATCAGTTTTCAACCTGATTTTATACTTATTTTAAAAAATTTATTATATATTAAATAGTAATAAATCAGGTTTAATTAATAATTAGTTATCAATCAGTTTAATACTAAATTGATGATTATTATTCAATTAAAATTTTCTGATTGGTTTCTTTATTAATAAATTTATCAATTGTTTCTAATTTATAAAATTATTTAATTTTACTAATTGTTTTCAAATTAATAAATTTATTAAATTTACCAATTATTTCAAATTTATAAATTTATTAAAGTATATCAATTATTACAAATTTATTTAATAAGATACAATTAAATTATCATTATAGATGAAATTGTCTATTAATAGGTATGACTGTACTATCATATATTTTTTCAATTTTTATACATTAACTATAAATTCACTTGGCATAAATTGACTATATATATTATGAACTGAGATGATATTATCTCTATCAATCTTATAGAATTCATCTTTCTAAAGCTCAATATTATATAATTCTTCTTAAATGTTAGATTTACAATGAAATCTTATTTGCCAGTCAGGAGCTAGTAAATGCTATTTTACAAATGTTAAATGATACGTTACTATACCTATTGAAAGGTAAAGTGAATATTTAAATTAGTATTATACTTTATTAGAAAATATATTTATCATCTCATCACTTTATATAAATTTCACTAATATATGTAAATTCCTCATATATCAGAATACAATTGTTACTCCAAAGATTTCAGATCCAATATTAATATAGTCATATTGATTAATATATAGGGTGAGTGTTGGAAAAAAAGACCAAATTGACAAAAAATTTTTTTTTTGAAATAACAAATGATCTAAATCAAATGATCAAATCTACATCTATTTTACTTAGAAACTTTTTTTTAAAAAAAAATCAATTTGGTCCATTTTCCCAGCACTTACCCTATATGATAAAACAATAGTGTGATCTTCTGTTGATATTTCAGAAACTGCAACTGCTATTATTATAAACTTCCCATAATATGCATTATTATAATATTGAACTAATAATTCATAAATATTATCTGGTAAAGACATGCATTCTTTTTTGAAGAAAGCATTTATCTTAGAAATAGCTCATTACTGATAATAATTTCATTAAAATAATGAAAAGATTTATATGAATCAGTATAATTCTGTAAAATCTAATTTATCATATAAGAGCATTTTTAGTAAAATCACATTACAGATTATATGATTTACTATGCATCATGACTTAATTTTACTTGAAAAATTTCATATGATACTAAACTTCCAGCTGTTGAACGAGAATTTACCAATTCAAAAACTTATACCAGTTTTGAATAATACAATTGATTAGAAATTAATTCATTTATTTTTAGTTTTGTATAATAATATATAGAAGTTCTAATTCAAATTATTACTTACTGTTCAGAAAGGATCTTATAAAGAAAAAATTAAATAATTATTAATCATATATTTAATTATTTAATAATTTAATAACAATCAATATAAAATCTCATCTAAAACTCCATTTATTCTTCAAATAAATAATATCAGAATGAATATAAAAAACTATAATCATAACAGCATTCAGTAATATGAAGTGAAAGGTATATATTTAGTATTATAAACTCTAATTCATAGTTTTTTTTAACCAAACGTGCTATTTGTAATAATTAGGCATAATCTTCAATCATTTAATCAATATATTATTAATTATTCAATATATAAGTAATAAGCAAGCTCTAATAAAATTAACTAAAAATTTCTCTATTTATTAAATCTAAAAAATCCCATAATAATAGAGTCACTTATATTATAATAAAAGTCTTTTATTGATTAGCTATAAAACTGGAAAACTCTTTTTCAGTTGAAATTTTATTTGAAATCTGACCTAAAGCAGCAGATAAATTGAGATATTTGCCTATTCTTTCAATAATACAAGATCAATTTTATTGATTTTATTAGATTATAACCTTTACAATCTAATAGGTAATGTCAAGAAAAAGGCAATACATCAGATTGATGACAAGATATCAAATTGGGTTAAAATATGGCAGCTTTAACATTTTTAACTAATATATATGTGTATCAGAAATATACTGCTTTCTTTTATCTTTGTTTTGCATTGTCATCATCCTTTAATATTTCTAAGATATTCAATTCACCAAAATTTGGTTTTCTACCTCCTGTATTTGCTTATTTGTAGCATTGATGGCAGCCAATTAATGCCGATATAAAACTCCATCTGATAGGATCCAAAAATATATATATAAAGGTCAGGTACTTATAAAATTTTTTACTATTAACTGTACATATGGATTTTCTATAAGATCAGTATGTATTATCAGTATCTGACATTAAAAATTCTATAAAAATATACAAATAAAGTTTCTGACCTTAAGGTTACATGATTTATACATAAAATTTATTATAAAATTTTAACTATATAATAATAACATTTAAACTATTTTACCATTTTTAATAATATCTTCTCGCTCAAAATAATCAAAATATTGCTTTTTATTACTAACTAATCTTAAAAAATTTTCTTCAATCATTACATTATTCTGTTTAATATAATATATGATATTTAAAGGAATATAATGTGTAAATATATAACAATTCTCTTTGATCATATCAGTAAATAACTCCAAATCTAAAGGAAAAAATATATGTAATGAAAAATATATAAAATATTATTTAGATCTTTGATGGCTTTATTAATATAACTATAAGATTATAAACCTTATAATATGAAGCTATTACTTATCCAATATATAATTGAGAATCATATTGAACAAATATAAAATCTTTTTTTACCAACGGAAAATTTTTAGTTATATTAGCATTTTCAATATTTAGGACTATTTTTTTTATAAAAATAAAGTTAAATAAAATTTTTTTAAATATAAAAATTAAAATAAAAATTAATGTAGAATTTACTTTTAATCAGATTTTTTAAGTATTCCTTTTATTTGATTTCTTATTTTTTTAGATCTAGCAAATTCTTGAACATATAATTGAGCTAATGTTATAGCAATATTTTTTTTGAGTATCTTTCTATTATTTTTCTCTTTAAGTTACAAATTTTTGATTCAGATTTTTATTCTTGATGAAAATAGGCAACAAAATGATTAATCATATTTAATTTATTCTTGAGCTTATTTTGACAATTTTAAATTTTTGCTCAAGAAGCTTTGAACAATCTGCTTCATAGAGTTTTCTTTGATTAAATAAAGACTCAAAATCTAATTTATTAAAGGATAAATACTGATATGATAAATCAACTATATAATAAATAGAATATTAATATGATAATATAATAATATGTTCTATAAATAAATAAATTGTTATATTATACCATCACCCATTAGTTTATTACATAATAATTTTTGACCTATTTTATTTATAAATAAAACAAAATTTCTTATTTTTTAATAAATTTAATAAAATTTTAGAATTTTCTGTTATTCATAAAGGATTAAATTAAATTAAATTAAAAACTTACCACTATCATTACCATTTATAATATGCAAGTTATTAAAAGATTGAGTAATTTCATTTAATTGAGAGTAACCTTCAACAAAATTATTATTAGATTCATATTCTTTTTTACCATCAATTTTAATAGTAATTTGTAAAGATAGCATCATAATTAAAAAGTTGCTACTAGATAAAAATTTTAAAAATAATTATGGGAACCATCTTTAGTAATTTGTCTTATTTTTGAAGCAGTTTTGCTAATAGCAAATGATAAATCATATTTTTATATTTATTATTATTATCATGAAATTACTTATCAATACTAAAATTTGAAATATCAACTTCTTGTGATCCAATAAAGATTTGGGAAGAATTTGTTTCAATAGAAATATTGAATAATTGAATCATATCAATATACTCTATAAGGTTTCATGCAAGTTGACATAAATGATGAATAGTTTCTGATATTTGCTTATCATAATGCCATAAACAAAGCTTATTTAAAGATAACTTATCTAATTGTTCAAAGATATAGTTAAACAGATAATCTAAATAAATAATAATAAGTTTAATATTATTAAAAAATAGCAATTTTAATTATTTTTATTAATAAAATACCTTCACAAACTGATCTTTCTTTATCAAAACTTAGTTTTTTATTTCACAAAGCCTTTGTATATTATGATATTTTAGATAAGTTAAAATAAATAACTTTTGACATAATAATTATATTTTAATAAAAAAATAATCATTAGAACCATTTTATCAAAAACTTTCTAATGAATATAAACACAAAATTATTAGACCAATAGAAGTGAAGATAATTTGAAAGAGTGATTGTTATTATAATCATACAGATTATTACTAAAAAAAGCTGTAATTTCTTAAGCTGCAGCCTGATGATCAAAATGACCGAAACTTCAGAAATAATGATAATATTGTTAACTAAGTTAATATAGTTGATTAAGTTTAATTAGTTTCTTATGTTTATTTAGTTAAATTAGTTAATGTAGTTAACTAAGTTAATGAAATTTATAATGTTTCTTTAGTTTTAATAGTTTTACTTTATCTTAAAATAGTAATAGAAGTAGATCAAATATTTAATATAAATAGAATAGGAAATTGTTGTAGAGTTAGAAACAATTAGAGATAGTTAAATTTATATTCAGTTCAGTTTTAGTTAAAGTTAATTAGAGAATTAATTGTGAAGACGCTATGATGCAATTTTTACAAACACATTCTAATACTTCTCAATGAATACTATACAACAAACAAATATATTTCTTTTTCACAAGCTAAATAAAGAGAATAACAATTTTAAAATAGCAACTCATAATATTAGAAACTGTATTTCAAACAAAAAAAGAAATCAAATTAAATAATTTTTTTCACTTCATAACTTTGACATTCTCAGTTTCTCTGAAAACCATCTGATTATGCAATAATCGTATTCTATTTGCAATAAATTCAAATCATCTGATCTTCCATTTAAATATTTTTTATTAAACAAAAATTGTTCCCAAAATTGTCAAGAAGTAGGTTTTATTGTCAACTCCTCTATTTCTAAATATATCTTTAATTATCAAGGCTTTT